CAACATAATCTCTTCAGATCAGACTGGTTTTATTAAAAACAGGCACTCCTTTTTTAGTATTCGTCGACTACTTAATATAATGTACACCCCCAGCCACGCTGCTTCTGAATGCCTTCTCTCCATGGATGCGGAGGCTTTCGATAGAGTAGAATGGGAATATCTATTCGAGGCCTTGCAAAGATTTGGGTTCGGAAGTTCCTTTTTATCCTGGGTGAAATTACTCTATGCCTGTCCTTCAGCTCACTAATAACCATTATTCTAAACCGTTCCGCTTACATCGTAGAACCCGTCAGGGCTGCCCCCCTCAGCCCCCTCTTTTTCATATTAGCTATTGAGCCGTTGGCAATAGCTATAAGAAGTAATCGGGCTATTCAAGGCATTTCACGATATGAAACTGAGCATAAATTATCTCTCTATGCCGATGATCTCCTGCTGTTTGTATCAGAGGCTGAAGTAACAATCCCTCCATTCTTGAACTTTTTGATACATTTGGGCTCGTGTCAGGCTATAAATTGAATCTACACAAGAGTGAATTACTGCCTCTAAATATGCCTCTTTCCACATTAGCAAACATTACTGTTCCCTTCAAGATTGCAATGCACAGTTTTGTCTATAAAGGCATAACTGTGACGAAAAACTTCAGTGATCTCTTTAAAGAAAATTTTACTAAGTTACACCTCAGTATGCAACAAGACTTGTAAAAATGGTCGCTGCTTCCTCTCTCGTTAGTTGGGAGAGTGGATGTAGTTAAAATGTCTGTATTACCCAAATATCTTTATCTGTTTCAAAGCCTCCCTGTATACATTCTGAATGCTTATTTTAAGAAATTGGACTTTGGAAGAAATTTGGAACAATAAAAAACCACGTTTGCGTAAAACACATCTGCAAAAGTCAAAGCAAGACGTAGGCCTGGCTCTACCGAATTTCCGTTATTATTACTGAGCCTCCAGTTTACGCTGTCTGACCTACTGGCTGCACTATCAGCACGACTGCAGCGTATGGGTAGAAATGGAGAAGCTCTCTTCTGGTTCTTTCTTGCTATCGTCTGTCGTAGGTGCATCTATCCCGTTACCCAAAAGCCTGACAATTGAGAATCCTGTAGTTAATAATATTATCCAGATTTGCTTTCAGTTTAGAAAACATTTTGATCTTCTGAAGATCTGCTTAGGCAGCCCAGTAGCTTCCAACTATGTTTTTTCCCCTTCAGTGTCTGATGCCACATTTCAGGGCTGGCAGAGGCGAGGGCTGAGATCTTTAAAAGATCGTTTGCCTCATTTGAACAGCTGACTAATAAATACAACGTACCCCCCTCTCATTTTTTTTAGGTATCTACAAATACGACACTTTCTTTCAGGCTCTATCCCAGGGTTCCCGAATAAACCCCCTAATGATGTAATGGATGACATTATGTGTTTTAACCCGGCTAAGAAAAAGGCCATATCATCAATACTTGTTCTGATTTTGCGCCTGGGTTCTTCTTCTATGTCTGCAATTAAGTAATCCTGGGAAGAGGATCTTAAAATCTGTATTACTGAAGCAGACTGGGGCAATGTTTTAAGTAATATTCACTCGTCATCCATGTGTGCAAGACATTGCCTTCTGCAGTTTAAAACAGTGCACAGGGTTCATCTCAGCAAATCGAAATTGGCAAAGATGTTTCCCCAGATTGACCCAACGTGCGAAAGATTTAAATATTCAGAGGCGACCTTGAGCCATATGTTTTGGTCTTGTCCCAAAATACGAAAGTTCTGGACGGATGTCTGTGAGGCTTCGTCATGCATATTTGGAATGAGAGTGTCACTCTCAGACTTATTGCCTTCTCTACACTATTGGCAAGACGTCTAATACTTTTGAAGTGGAAGGACGCAGCCCCGCCCACGGTTTCGCATTGGGTTAAGGATGTTTTATTTCATCTTAAATTAGAGAAAATTAGGTTTGTTTTTTGAGGCTCTGTAAATAAATTTAATAAACTCTGGAAACTCTTTTTGATATTTTTTTAACCAACCATCTACACAAGTTCAGGGATGACCTTTATTTATTTATTTATTTTTAATTATATTTGTTTGCTTATTTTTTCTTCCTTCTTATTCTTTATACCTTGGCTGGTGTTATTTTGCACCAATTGAAAGTTTTTCCTTTTAAACTTTTGATTACTTGACAGCGAACAGTGATGTTGTTTGTTAGGGTGGGTTTTTATTTTAAATTTTCTCGCCTCTTTTACTTTTATTTGATGCTTTGTATTTTTGTATTTCATTGTGGAAAATAATAAATATATTAAACACCAAACCTCTGAGCTATGAAGAGAAAAACCCACCCCAACGTGTGTGTGTGGTGACGTGCTACAAGTAAGTATTTATCTATCTGCATCACTATTAATTAAGTTATCGAATTCAAAGAGCATGAAGCGTATGAGTTCAAGTTAAGTATGGCATGTATGTATTGCATTCTGTGTGAAGTTTGGACTGTGGGTGGAAGCCAGAGGAGCCACTGAGCACGTGCAAAGACATACATTTTAGTTTAACTGGTGATTCCAAATTGGCCACATGTGAGCTTGAATGGTTTTCTGTCTCCCTTGAAACCTGTCCACAGTGTAGACGGCTGGGATAGGCACCAACTGTCTGATGACCCTGAATTGGATTAGCAGAAGAAAATGGATGAATGGAAATAAAACTGGATCCTATTGTTGCTGAAGCCCTCTGATGCCATGAAACATTCATTCTAATCTAATATTGTTTTATTTTACAATATAACACGATTTAACAAGATGACAGCTTGATTTTTTTTGTTTGTTATAACACATGTGGTTCAGTTTTATTGTTAGAAAAAAGAATCTGTGAGAATTAAAATCCCAGCAGCACACAACATGAGTTGATGGTAACCTGGCCTGATCCTAACTTAGAGGCACACAGACTTTGTCTTGTGTTATTACTAAACAAGATTTCCCTTATATATGTTATAAACTAGTAAATTGCTAATATCCATAAAATAAATTTATATTAGTATGATATTCGTTACCTGGGGCCTCAAATATGGCCCCAACAGTGAGACACAGACTTAGGCATTAGAGAGAAGGTCAAACCACGAGCTGTGTTCATTAAGCTCAAAGGAATTCTCTTCATGTCGAGGTTTTGGACACGTCAGACTGAGAGGATATGCAGTGGCTGACAGCCATATCTTATGGGACTCGAGGATGCTTCAGGATTCCAGAGGAGGCGTGAATGAGAATAGTAGATTTACTGAGCTTTAGCCTGCTGGCATTATAACCTGACCCAAATACATGTGGAAGGAAAAAGAAGTCAGATCATCAGTTACTCTTCTGAGAACACGCGCCTGCTTCAACATAACCTGTTTTAACATAGTTTTGGATTTCTTTTTAGGTTTAGACATTTGCTGAAATCAGCTTGTCTGAGTTGATAGCACTCGGAGTCCCAACTGGATTGTCTCACATGCTTAATTCTCACCGTATGAAGCTCAAATTCCCACTACCACACCTACAATCATTAGACACTTCACACCTTCTCAATCTCACCTCATTTCGAGTATTATCACTCAACAAGTGTTTCACAGCGCACTAAAAAGTATGAGACAAACTGTTTTTTTGCTAGAAGGTAATTTGCAAAGCAGTTATTAGTTCATGTGATGAGTGATAAAAAAAGACTAAGTGCTAATGTATCGATGAGCTGCTGCTGCTGCTG